CCCTCCTGTCCCCCTCCCGCCCCGCCGGTGTATAGTCGACGAACAACCGAATCGCAGAGATTCCACACGACCCTGCCTCCACCTCCCCCCCTCCTCGCCACCATGGATATATCACCTTTTCTTCGTACCGTTGCCGGAGAGGAAGAAAAGGGAAGAAAGGCCCTCTTCTTCGCCGGCGTAGAGGAGGAGAAGCGGGGAGATGAGAGGCCGACTGAACAAATCTCGTAAGCCGCGACAAATCTTGCCCTTCGAGGATTATTTATGGTCGATTCGCGACCGCGCGATTTTTCGAGATAAATCCCTGCGAGGTGGGCTATAAATCCGCCTCGGACGGTATCCCCACCATGTAAAACACCGGCCCTCTCGAAGTCGACCAAAGCGGTTCCAAGAAGCCGAAAGGAAGACGTCGAAGATCCACCCCGACGCTCGATGTTCTAATAATCGCGTTTCGGAAATTCGATATCGTTCCGAGTATCGGTACGAGCAGCTTAACAGCGCTAGATTTGTAAAATGACACATTGATTTGCAAATTATATTTTACGAGTCATTATCAAACTGCTGCAAACGACTGAAACGAATTACTGGGTCACAGGCCGATAATCGACGAGGCAAAGTAATAATATTGTAATTACGCGCTTCTATTCTAATAATTACAAATTTCGCAATTAAAATTATTAATTAATCATTATGTTAACCAGATTATTTTCATTTTCGTATAATCAACTTGACCTAATTACTGTCCACCGGATATATTTTATTATGCGTTAATTATTCATCGAATTCCATTTATTAATTACAATTATAGAAAATATTCTGAAAATTGCAGAGACAATTCGACTATTCTGTCCGCCTGAGCTTTATAATTATGTTACCTTATTCAAAAAAAATTAGAGGTATTCAAATGACAAAATTTTAAGAAACAATTGCAAATGAAATAACAAACGATTGTAAATATGCGTGATTGCAAGTGATATTCTTACTAAACCTACCGACTTCTGCGAAGCGCACCCAATTCCCTTTAAACGCCTGGTTCCGAGCAGACAGAGCGAAAGCGAGAGAGACGCACACACGCAGTCGGTACTGCACCCCGAATTCCCTCGGTTCCGCAACGTATTTATTGATTTTCTATCCCCGGTCAACCGATTTCCCTTCGCCGAAACGGTCACGAGCATCGGCGGCCCCCGGCGATAAAACCAGGGCACCGCTGCCACTCTTCTCCCCTCGGACTGTCTCGCTCTCTTTCGACGGGAGCAGTTCTCTACCTGCTGCATTCTGACGCGCACACACCTCGCGACGTGGATTAATTGAAGTCACATGTCGAATGTAAAATATCTGGATGACGGAGAAGAACAAACGCGAGTATCGAGCAAAAAATTATATGCAAAGTTTATTATAAACCGAACCAGGCAATTGTCGCGCCTTGCACGCAGCGTTTTTGACACATTCAGCGATTTTCGGAAAACGTATAGACGTATTTCTAAAACTTTGAAATCCTTCAGATGTTCCGGCCAAGTCATCTTTAAGGATAATAGAGTGCATCCTGCGATAATATACCATATAATACCTTTCCAGGACCATTCCAACTTTTTTAAAAGAACTCATTTTTCTTTTCTATACGCGACAAAATAGGAATTCCTTCCGAATAGTATAGAGGTTCCCCTTCAAATGGTCTTTCTATCGAAAATTAAACGGATCAATGGTGTTCAACGAAATACCTTAAACGAAATAAAACGGAAAATCCACAGGCAGGTAGAAATTTGCAAGCGAAAAAGAAAAGAAGGGCGCGATCAAGACAAATAGGAAATTATTGCACGCATTCTAGATGTTAGCGAACAGAAACTGAGACGATGAAAAAGAGGAAGCGGAAAAACCGGAATGGTAGTGAACTATGAACGCGAAGCGCAGCTGTTGGTTAAAGCACCGACCTTTTCGATGCAGCTGTCGGTTTGAGCCTCTCGCTCGCGCGTTGCAGCTGCTCTCTCCGCGCGTCCGCTAGCAACCCCTATATAACATCACAGCACCCCCGAATAGGCTGCCTGCGGCGCAACTCGCCTATTCTTCAACCACCGACCGAGTCACCCTTCTCTCATCGCGGGGTTAACTAGAGAGAGAATTAGCTCTTTGCCATATATCGCGATGACTGCAACGCGGGGTGCAGCAACTCGGCGAGGGTGCTTGATAAATGAATATTTTCCGGAAAGTGTGTCTTCCAGAATAAAGTATCGAATAAAGTATCCAGAGGGTTGTGAATAAAGTATTGAATTTTCGATGAAAAGATAGAGAAAAATGAGACGAGACGACAGGTTTCTCAAAGAGTAAAATATTCGTATATCAATCTTCCAAAGAGAGCAAGCTCGCTTGCGGACCCACGTGCAAAATAGAATATCGTCGCAATGTAGTCCGATTTCTATACGTTTAAAGAAGAAAGTCAATTGATTGTCAATCGAAAAATTAATGTAAATATGTAAAAAAAAAATGCTACGCAATTTCTATTGCGAGTGTTAAGAAATTTTCCCGGTTATATCGACGCGTTGAGATTCAAGAAGACGTAACGCGGAAGTGGAGAGCGAGATATGCGCCGGTATATCTGTTTTAGCAGATTCCGACGAAGTGAAAGTCCTTTTGTATTCTCGCAAGACTTGTTCCGAAGGAGAGTCTGCGCCGCTCATGATTTAAACAGTCGTATTTCCTGACGTTTTGCGGCCGACTGCCTGCCGTGCGAGAGCGCGACAGTGATTTCGCCGTTTCTCATTAATCGTATGAAAGATTGCGGTAGCGGACAATCGAAAGGTTCATTGCGTCGGATTATTCTGGGAAATCAATTTCAAAATCATTTTTAAGTCTCATCTTTTCCACAAAAATTAATTCGACATTTTTTCGACATAAATTAAAAGAAAAACGTTAATAATGGCCACATATTTCCTACAATATAAATTCTTATTCAAAATTCTACGAGAATAAATAAAAAAATAAAAATTAAAATGTAAGACTAAAATGTAGGTCATTTAAAAGAATTTTTCAATCAACTTTTCAATCAACAAAGTCTCTTTACCTTTTACTTTCCTCGTATTTTTTTAAATACAAGTTGCTGCAAAAAAATGTTAACACTTATATGGAAGCAACTCTTTTTAGAGAAACACAATATATCATGTGTATTTTGTGTTCAAAGAGTCTCCCACTTGCCTCCACAGCGACCTTTCTTCTTTGTCCCGAAGACAATCTCGTTGCCATTTCGATCAACTGCAAAATATATACATGTACAAATTCTCCATGTAAGTGTTAACATTTTTTTTTGAAGCACCCTATATAAGAGAAAGGCAATACAAATTCTAGAAGAACCGCTTGAGCAATTCGCCGAATGATAGTAAGGAATGTCCACGAAATAAAGAGTAAATAGTCAATTAGTAATCAATGCGCGAACTTTGTCGATCACGGCGGCCGCGACTCGGTGTCGAAGAGTGCAACGACCGGAGGATCGACAGGCCCCACGCACGGAAAGACTTCGCCTACGATCGATCGTTTACTTCGGTGAAAATCGAGAAACTGCAATTCGGGATCCAGCTAGCGTGAGCGAAGAAAACACTTGGAAAAGCTAAAACTTCGAAGGCCAGAGACCGATTAATCGTTTCGTATCAAATCAAATCAGTGGCAATCAAATTAATTAATTAATTATTAATTAACTAAAAGACATCTGACAAATTCGACAAAATATATTACTTATAACAATAATCTGATTTATTGTAGAATTACGAACAATCTTGGAATGTATGTAAAATAAAAAAATTGAAGTTCCAGAATTAAAAAGGGGAAAGCCGAAATAAATCATGTTAGAAAAAATTCGGAAAAAAATGGAAACTATTCACGACTTTTTACACAATCAAAAGTTTAATACAAAAGCTGAAAACCGACCATTATTTTTTTCTCTCAAGAATAAAGAAAAATTGACTCGAGTTTGACTTAGGTTTGCGGCTTGTAAGAGCACATTCAAAAAGAGCCGTGTGAATAAAAACCTCTTTTTTTTTGTTCGCAGGTACCACGGGTGTCTCACCAGGTGCGAATGCGTACCTATACGTAACAGAGGCCAGAAGCTTCAAGTTATCGGCGACTATAACTTCAGCAACAGGCATGATCACATCCCGTTCGACCGAGCTCGTACAAAGCTCTTAGGTCGAGCGAGAAGGAGGAAAGAAGAATACAGATAAAGAGAAAGAGAGAGCCGTGTATGAAGGCAGAATTCGCCCCCTCGTCTCTCTACCTTCGCTCACAGTCTTGAATTGTTACATGTGCACACGGATTAGTTCTCGGTCGGCTCGCAGGTACGCGAGAATGAAAAGGAGAGGGATGCTGCAGTCGGCGAGGAGATCAGAACGCGAGCGAGCGAGCGAGAGAGAGAGAGAAAGAGAGGCAAGATACCTCGCACACACGCGCGGCAAGCGTGGGAAGCTGCTGCACGCTTCTCGAGTCGCGGCTGCACCGCGCGCGCATGAGCATGGGGCCTTCTCTCCTGTGCGCGCAGTAAGACGCTGGGCTTCGAAAGAGCGAGAATAGGACAGGAACGTTCGTACGGCGAGTACATCGTCGTTCACCGACAAGGTAGTAGCCGTTGCATATTCAGCGCCGATAGAAATCGCGGACGGCAATGTCGCTTGTTAATAACCGCGCGAAAATCGAGCCGAGAGATTTTATTGCACAATCATTTATCGCCGAAGCTTGCTGTATCCGCGACGATTCGTGTGAGCAATTTTAACCCAAATTATTATCATCATTATAAATAAGTTACACTAGTCTTGATATTATCATAATATTAATGAATTACAATCACGACTTTTTTTTTTTTACTTCGCGACGAGAGCGCACGCAAGTTTCGATGGTGCAGTCGCGATGGAAAACGCGAGTAATGCACAGCGCGCTGCCAGCACTAAAATGACTGTCGGCGCCGCACACGAATATTAAAGCATGGAGAAGATAGTGAACTTACCGGCGTCGCAGTAGTAGCCCTTCCACCCGGATAAGCAGACGCGCTCGCCAGTCGGACTGCAGCTGAAGTGACCGAAGTTGTCATCCCGCGGTCGGCACACGTTCTCGCAGCCCTTACCGTAGTAATGCGCCGCGCACATCACGCGGTACTCGTACTCCATCTGCGAATGGGCGCTTCTGTACGCGTCCACGGTCCACTTCGGCCCGACGTCCAACCATTTCTGGGTGGTCAGCCGCATGATCAGTATTTTTTCTGTAAGATCAGAGGACATCTCCTTTGAGCGATTTGACATCGGGTTGGGATAATCTTATGTTTAGCGATGAGACTGAAGCCGGTCTCTCGAGACACCTCGTGAGTTTAAAGGCTGAAAAATATGAGTTGCCAAATTAACGACCTCTTTTCAACCGAATAACACAACGAGGCGCGCGATGTAAATGTAATAATAGCCGACGCATCCAGAGCACCGGGGCAGAAAGCGATGAGGTGCACACCGCTGCACCCAATGATGCGATCGAAGTGCATCGGCCTCCGGGGAGAGAAAGGAGAGAGAGAAAAAGAAAGAGAGAGAGAGAGAGAGAGCGAGCAGACCGGACGTTCGTCCGCTATTGCTACTCTGTCGGCGGCACGCATCCGGCAGAAAGAGAGTATAAGCGTTATACCGCGTTGCGCCTCTGGGAAAGAGGCGTCCTTCCTTCCTTCCTTCCTTCCTCACTCTTCCTTTCCTCGTCGCTCCTTCAATTTGCGTTCGCCACCGTTTCGTCCTTTCGCCCGGTGTCTTTACACGGCTTTCGTGTAAACGAACGAGCGGAGGCCTACAGCCTTCCCTACGAACCCGCCTCGGCCGCATTATCGTAATAGCCCCGGCAGATTAGGACTCGTGAGGACTACGATCAGGTGCCCTACCGAAAAACCTGCATCTCACGGCACCGGTTTTCGGTGCACGCGCGTGTGAGCCGGTCGCACAGTCCGAACCGGTAGCGTACCCCGTCGCCGCCGCCGCCGCCGCGGTGCGGTGCGGTCTATCGCGTGTAGTAAGGTCAGTAGCGTAGCCGTGAAGCCGCGTGATCGAGCGATACACGCACGCTCGAGCGCTCTACGGTGCGCGCGGCCTCCCGCCTGACGAGAATATCGATATTCAAAAATTATCAATGAGAAGCGAAAGGCCGACGATAACTGGCGCAGTGACAGCTCGCGCCTCGGAAATTTCCCACGAATACTGCCGCATCCGTTCACGCGCCCGGAAATTACGATCGATCATTCTTAGAACTGTTATCTACTCGCGACGCGATTAAAGTACTAATCGGAATTATCTTTAACGTCGGAGCTATATTTTAACGTCCTTCTGTTATTAATAATACAACCTGTATCTTTGCTGTTTTACTAATAATCGATATTAAAAAATATTTCATCAAAATAACTCCAATGTTAAAAATAATTCTTATTGATACTTTAACCGTGCGACAGCAAGTTTTAATATCGAATGACTGTGCACCACACGCACACACAAATAATAAAACACCGTGATTTATAATTCTCGCATTACGAACCGAGAAAATTTTCCAAGCTAAAAGAGGTTTAATAATGATATTGCTGTCACTTGATAAGATGATTTATCAACAAGAGCCCCCTTCGATCACACGCCACTGTATGCATCGAGGAGGAGGAAGAACCAACGAGCGAAGAAAAGAAAAACTGAAGGGAAGAACAAAAGGACGAAGGTTTTCGCCGATGGCGTGCCCGAAGATACTTAAGAAGGGAGAGAGCCAGACCAGCCTCTCTTCCCAGAAGGGAAGTAGCATTTCGCTGTCGGCGAAACGGGAGTCGAGAAGGAGAGGGAAGAGAAGGAGAGCGAGACGCGTATATATGCAGGAAGGCAAGGAGGCAGTTTGCCGGGCTATCTTCCCAGGTGATGCTGTTACGAGTTCCGAAAACGCCGATCTTCGCACGCTACAAGCGCGGCTATATATTCAATCTCGATCTTCGCGCAGATACACGCGGTGGAATGCTTTCGGGAATGAATTACAAATAGTGATGGGATTCAAATCGTCTCGAGACATCTCGAGTCAAAGGCTGAGAATCGAGAAGTCTTAAAACATCTTGCGAGATTGTTACGATTGAAAGTCTTGAATGTCTATAATGCACGTGTGTTGTGTGTATGTTATATATTATATTATTCAAAATATTCAAGACTTTCGAGATTTTTTCAATCATAACAGTCTTGCAAGATGTTTTGAGACTTTTGATTTTCTCGTCTTGCTTAGAAATTTCCAAGAATCTTGAAATTCCATCACTAATTACAAAGCCGCGCAAGCTTTTACAGTGAGTCACTATGCTATAACTAATCAATAACAACGCGATGTTACAAATAATGTAAAATATATGTAAACGAATATTTATTTTATCTATCTTTCTGCACTCTGCACTATAATCTGCAATAAAAAATAATTAAAATACACACCGGCGCATTACATTTTAATTTAGAGTCATTCAACAAAATTGAAATATTTAATCTAATAATAAGTTTGGAAAATAAAAACAGATTAATGTAGAAGATATTTTTGCAGCGGCATCTTCCTGCACGAAAGTCAAGTGCAGATCTTTTGGAAATTGTACGTGTATTCGGGATTTAATAGAAATGGACGTTTCAACGCGCAACAGTGTTGCGCGAACAGGCGCGAAAAATTAATCCGCATTTACATTCGCCGGGAGGTGGTTTTACGTTATGCGCTACCGGCGTGTATCGGCCAAGTTACAACTTCCTGTCGCTGTTTCCCCCGGACGTTGCTACCACGAGAGGATCGCCGCCGCTCATTTCTACTTGACCACGGTCCGCGCGCGGTATACACCCGGTAAACACCCGGCGTGCTCGAGGCCAGACCGATTCAAGGTATTCATTAACGACGCGCGCAGCGCCGGCGCGTAGCAGACATTTTCTATTGTTCATTCAGAAACGAACGGCTGCCGAAGAAGGATAGCCCTGGGAGAAAGAAAGAGGAAGAGAGAGAGAGAGAGAAAGAGGCAGAGAAAGCTGGCGGATAGCCAGCGGCGTTGCTTCCACTCGGCCGCTTCCACCGCGTTGTTTCTCGCGAAAAAAACGGCGCGTCAATTATTTAGCGAAATGGATCCGAACACGACGAATTAACCACCGAAAACGCTACCCGCTTGCCGCCGCTGAAATTTATAGCATGGCTGCCTCTCGGTATACAAGAAGAACCGCGCAGGTTTCGACGATCCCGATCTAATGTGTGATGCCAATTGTTCTTAATTACTCTTAATAAAAAAAAAAAAACTATAAATATAATAAACATAAAAAATAATATTCTTTAACACATATCGCTGCTTCATATATAACTTTTTTTCATCATTATCAAATATAGTGACTTATTTTATAAAGAAAGAGTTGCAGATTTCTTGTGATCAAAATTGAAGATAAACTTGATCCAAATTTGACTTCTTCGACTTTAATTTTTTTTTTCTTCAAAAAATTAAAAAAGTGGGTTAGAAGATCACTGCTTTCCATTGACTTTTCTCCAATCGCGATGTAAAACGCGCTCTTATCCCCGCGGTTTTTTTCTTTCGCCGGTTGACACGTGGAGCGCACAGGGAAGGCGGCCAATTATCGCCGTCGTTATTATCATGCGAAAGGAGGCAGGTGCGCTCTCCCGAGTGCATCGGGCGATGTGCAGCGAGCGAGTCGCGGCGCGCAACGGTGTTCCGTTCATGAGAGAAGGAGAGAGACAGAGAGAAAAAGAAAGAGAGAGAGAGAGAGAGACCGGCCGGGGAAAAGCGGTTGACAATCAACTGTGACGTAAGCCACGTATGGAGTCACGACCACTGGTGGAGTTCCTTTCGCTCGTATGTGCGTGTACGTGTGTATGTGCACGCATCGTAGAGAGGCTAACGCGCGTCGTATCAATTGGGAATGAATAGACACTCAAGTCGGGGAGTCAGTGCGCCCAGACTAGTATTCAGTCGGTGCAACGGAAACAAATAAGATGGCTGTTAGAGGCGAGAAATGCGTACGTACTTTGTCTCAATTACCGGTTCTCCGACAAATTTAGAAAGAGTCTCACGGCGGACCGAGAATCGACACAAAAATATTTTCGAATCGCTCAGTGCTGGTTGACAGTTATATCGGCGAATCAAGTGTTAGAAATTTGCACCAGCGGGAGACTTTTATTCTACTTGAACAATATTATTTCGTCACGCACGCAGCAGCGTCTCGCGCAGACTTTCGATTTCGGAGAAGCGAGACGGATCAAGATCGAAATTGAGACGAGATGCGTTAAGACAAGTCACTAGCAATGAATGTTGATCGATATGCGTCGCATTCATGGCGAGACAGTCACCAAGTGACCACACAATTATATATCCTTTCATACTTTCTTTTTTTCTATATTTCTATTCTCTTTAAATAAAATTTCGTATTTTTCAATTTACATTCTATCGTGTTAATTTATGGATATCTTTCGATCCAGTCCTTTCCGCGATGACATAACGAATCAGTATTACGAAAAAATAAAATAAAATGGTAATTTCTCAGTTAATCTCGAATGCGTAAACTGATTAAATCAAGAGTTAATAAGATTTGACCAATAAAAAAAAATTACAAAATTGCGACAGATAGCGCTGAAATTTTCTTCGTGGAAAATATTTTTCAATAGTTGGTCAATTAACATCTTGTATCGCGTATTTTCTTCCTTAAACATACTTAGAATTTTGCGAAAACATTACCGTTATCATTTAAGTATCCCTATACATACACACATATCGATGGTTCCAAATGCTAATCCGTAATTAACGAACCGGCCGGCCGCGTTATTACGAATTATAGAAACGTAGCGCTCTCTCGAGTGAACGCATCCATGAATGCGCGCTTCAAGGAGGCGTTTAACAGTACCTTGGCTGGATAACGCGATCTCCATTTAATATTTTACCATGCGCGTTATCCCATAACGCGTACGCCTCATAATAGAACGTCGGCTCGGTTCACCGCGAACAAACGAACGAGCCAACGGCGAGGAGGCTCCCTCTTCCTCCTTTCCCCACCTCGTCGGCGCTAACGGCGGATGAATGAAGGAAAGGAAGAGTAGTAATTCGATCGGCCTTACCAAAACGAGCAACAACCGAGTGCGCAGCGAGCAAGGCGGATGCCGGCGAACATCGTCGTTAGCGCGACAAAAGGAAACTGGTTCGCGCGTGTATAATAATGCCGCTTCGCGCGCGCTCGACGGATCGATCGCTCTCGGGAGCGAGCGCTTCCATCGACACGTGTAATCGTTCGGGCGCGCGACACCACCTTGCCGAGATTTATAAATAACGTCGCATCGGCGGGAATAAAATTAGTCCGGAATAGAAAAAAAGGAGGACTTTTAAAATCTTCCGATACTTATTTAAAGTCTCTTATTTTTAATTTATATTCCCGTGCGCGAGGGGCATTGTTTAAAATTAGCTCGCGGCGATAACGAGCGATGAATATCGAGATTGAGAATACGAGGAATTAACTCTTTAACGTAATTAAGAGTGAGATCTTATCCGTCTCTCCCGCGACTACGATCGTCCTTGAGGAACGTCGCGACCAACAACGGTGCGGCGTGTAATTAACGGCGACGAGTTGATTCCCACGAAATTTTCGCGACACGCGACGCGCAGCGAGGGAATGCAACTGCGAGCGCAGGTGCAACGGCGCGACGCGCGTGCACCAGCGTGGCACGTATACGCAATGTAACGCAACGTAACGCAATGCAACGCAGGTTATATATATTATGTGTATGTGCGCGCGCGCGTGTGTGTGTGTCTGTGTGTGTTTGTGTGTATACGGTGGGCGGCTAAAAGGAGGAAGAGAGACGCCCGAAAGGGAAGGGGGCGAGAACGCCGCAGGCGGGGGCGGCGGCAGGCAAGAGGAGGTGGTGTTCGCCTGAGAAAGGAAGCAGCATCCGAGCAACGCGGCAATAAAGGGCTCGTTTCGCCGGTGCGTTGTGGGTATTATATTGTGCCCGGAGCAGCACGGTAGACGGAGCACAATGTGAGCGCTGGTGTATCCGCGATAAAGGCCCGGGGATAGCTGCATATCCGGGACACGATGTTCGGCGAGCAGCCCGTTGTCGGATATTAGCGTATATTAACCTTTGCGGTCTTCATTCATCTTCAGACATATTAGTAAGGAAAAAAAAAAAAAAAAAAAAAAAATATATTAACGGAAGAAAGGAGGAAGCCAATCACCGAGTGATAAAATGCACCGACGACACCGAGCGTGGGACGCATTTTAATATATCGTCGATGATTTCATGCAACATCCGCGCGCTAGTAAAAGAATCGCAGACGCCGAAAACAGCAGAGCGTGCGTTTATAAGATAAGCAATACGTCGACGATAAAATCCAGAGACCAGAGAGGAGCGCTCGTCGGTTGTAACGCGAGCGTTAACATCCGCGCGTCGGTTTGGCTTATCTCGGGCTTCGTCGCGGGAGTTTCATTAGCGACGTGCAAAGGGATGCGTTCGTCGGGGGGGGGGGGCAAGGGTTTCCCGGGCGATTCCGCACTTCTCCCGACGCGGTCTCGTGAATTTGCGTACGCAAATTCGCTCCGCGCTCCGAGCCGCTTCCTCATCTCCGTCGGGGAAAGCACGCGAAAGACGGGCGCGGAGTAAATAACGGGGCAACGTGCGAGGATCGAATAAAGTCCGTGGCGCCGAAACAGTTAAATTCGGTTAATTGGCCGAAGCTGCGCCGCCGCGGCGATATAGGTGATACGAGGAGCGACGACGACGAGGAGACACGCGTGTGTGCGTGCATGTGACACGCATGAAGGCGCGCGGCCGCGCGTATATGCAGCTTCCGCTCTCTCTCTCTCTCTCTCCCGATTCTAATTACCAAGCGGGAGAAGAGGGGGGAGAGGCTCAGCGCGCGCGCAAACGGCCACAAGAGCCCCGCGGGACTTCTCGAGGAAGAAATTAAACGGTCTCGCTCTTCTTACCCCGTTTTTAAAAGCCGGTCTCGAGAGTGAACCGAGTGAAGCGGATGCGTGTGCTACCTGTGCGCGAGTGCGTACAGAAAACCGTACATTTACATCGCACATCCGCCCGATGAGAATTAATTGCAGAATTATTCCGTCCAAAATTGGAATAAGTAACAATTAAACCGAGCTTAATGAGAAACGTTTCGGGATTTTCGAAGATTACAAAAATAGAACAAGAATCTCGGACCGCCATCTTTCTCATCGAACGAGAAACAAAGCTGTAAATTTGAGGAACACACTGACGGGTAGAGGTTAGGCTAGCCTCTCGTCGTGGAGCCCATATATACTCGGTGTCGAGTTACTACAGCACGATGGAAGATAGGTGTACTACGATTACACAGGAAGGAAACACTAGTGCCGCCGCCGCCACCCGGTGTTCGTCTCTCTCTCTCTCTCTCTCTCTCTCTCTCCTCTCCTTGCTCTCACTTTCCTCTCTCCCGCTCTATAGCTACAGGCTCCTGACCGACAGCTATGACACAATGGAGACGCGTTGCCGTAATAATGTGGTTACAAACGAGAAACGGGCAACGGCAATAGAGACTGAATAGAACAATGAAAATGCGACGATTGTTTGCGGAACACCAACCGGCTCCGTCATCATCGTCCACGTAAGATTTGTCGACCTACGCTTATTTGCGTAACACTTAGTCGGAAGTAGACTCGGCGAAAGAGAACGCTACGCGTAAAAGTTTTTTTCAGAATACTTGCAAAACGTGAAGTGCATTTCTTTTCCCATCATTTTCGATCATTTCTTTTCGTGAGATATAAAACGCGAATAATGATTGGATGACGATGAACTCGAAAAAAAAATTCTTTTTCATCGATCAATTATAATAATCAATTAGGAAGACGTTTAAAAACGTGGGAACGTATACAAAATGTCTCTGAATAAATACATATTTATGCTGCATAATAAATCGAACGCGGGATAATTTATTGTTAGAAATAACGCCGCGGGGAAATTGATACATTCTCTTCTTCACCGCTTCTGCCTCGAGGAACTTTCAAGGAAGAAGGATCAAGAGAGGTAGTTGACGGAGGAGGAAGAGAACACGCCTGGAGGATGTGATGTCTCTGGTGAGTGTCAAGCCCAGAAGACCGGAAGCGTCTTCTTGACTGGTCCACGTTGAACGAGACATCGTGTCTCTCCCACGAGCCAGCTGGATCACACATGCCCCCCAAACCTTTCTGCCTTCTCTCACGCGCATCGGAAACGCGAATAACGCCGCGTCTACAGGACTAATTTTACGATAATCCTTCGTCATTCCACTTTTTACGAGCGTGCGCGTGCGCGCGTAGGCGCGCGCTCGTGCCCAACACAATGATATACGTGATCTAAAAAAGAAGATAGAGAGAGAGAGAGAGAAAGAGAGAAAAAAAAGGTTGCATGCTTACCAGCCGGCTTGTCCGTGCTGTTGTTGTTCGCATCGTGATAAGCCTCCACTATTAGCGAGAATGTACCCTGTGAACAGAAAAAAAAAGACAGCGTGAGTCTCGGTGTGTTCCACATCTCAAAACGATAGTTTTTTTTTTTTGTTCGGAACGCAACAAAAAATTTGCCGAAAGATTTGAGAGGAAATTGATCTCTCTTAATTGAATCTTAGATTTAATCTCGATAATTAAAGTGATGCGCGACGTGCGAATTTTTCGAACGTGACTCGCGCGTTGACTTTCGAAATAACGGTAACGTCGGGAGGAAATATTTCCGCGGTGAAAGGGTTAACAACAAATTAAAAGTTTCGCGGCATGCTGCGTCACGTGCGCACCTGCCACACGTTGCCACGCGCACGGCCGGCCCGTCCGCCCAGCTGAACGAAAGAGCACACGTGAAGTTACGAACGAAGAAGAGAAACGGTTACGCGTCACTGGTAAAAGGGGGGCAACGAAGTGAGGAACGAGAGGGGGGGAAACCGAGACACGCGCGAAAAACACCCCCTTTCAAGTTATCGTCCGGATACGAGGGGGATCGACATCCAACAACCATGCGATACCCTCCTGGCATAAATCACGCGTCGCATTAACGTGCACGTGCGCGCGTGCGAAGTGCAACCACGTGAAAACTACGACCGATTACGCGAACGACACCGGAGCGTCGCAATCTGCGAAACGTGCGACAAGCGCAAACTTGCGATTCCGCAAGTGCGCCGATCTTAATCTCAATTTGCGTCGAATTGTAATCGACGGCACATCCCGCTTCGCATATTTCACGCGTATAAATTTTTTCATCCAATTAATAAAAATAATTCAGTCAGTCGCAAGTCGAAAGTTATATAAATCGGAGAAGGATTAGTTTCAAAGCGGTCGAAAGACATTCCTCGGTGAAAAAAGAAATGCGGGGAATCTACGGCTCGTTGTATGGCACAATCAGAAGTCGAGGGGACGCTCGGTGTAGATAGCCGAAACAACAACAACTCGTAATTCCCGCAAATTCCCGACACTCTCGTCGCCGAGGAGAGCACATACAGCACAACTAGTTTTCTCATGCGCGAGCACAATGTTATTGTGTAATACAGACAGCACACACGGGTCACTACGTGTGCAGTGATAATGCGTCGTTTAATTATTAACGTCGCACGGAACGTGTACGGTAAACACAGAAAGAGAGCGCCGGCTCGCAGCATTATTATACACGACCTCGTTAGTCGTCGTCGCACGAGAATAATAAATGTTTATATCCGGCGGCGTTGCGGTATTCCCGTTTCGCCCGTTTCCCGGTAATCTCGCACGAATGTCATTTCGTGCATGGAAATTTATGCGCATTACCCCTGCTCTCTAGTTTCGCAAATTTTCCTCCCATTTTCGCAATCTCGTTGAATAGGGTCGAAACAAAACGGGACAATAGGATTAAATATTATAATAAAGGCGACAAATTGAAAAAGTCGCGGGAAAGATATAAATATTTTTACATTTATGTATGTACGAGTTAATTGTTATGCGCGCAATTGCATAAAATTCGGAAGAAATAGATCAATGTCTGAATATTTTGAAAGTAAAATATTTAGATAAAAGTGCAACTTCTTCCGACTTTCAATAATAGAGAATAAAGCAATGAGAACTAATCCATTTTTTTCTCGCCTATTTTTTCTCTAATTCTATCTCTTTTAAATTTTCGCCAAATTAAAATTGTTTAATTATAATTTAAAGTGTATTAAAGTTTGGTGGAATTTCTTAATGAATAGTTTACGACAATACGAAGCACACCTCGAATTGCTGAATGTTTCATGCGTATATGCAGATTCCTAACTAAAATTAGCTCAACGGTATATGCACATAAATAAGGTATGCGGGTTTGCCCTTCGCCGCGAAAGGGTTGAAGGACGCTGGAGCAATTTGTCTCTGCTAAAAAGAAGCGAGCGGTGAAAGCGAGAGGCAGGTTGTGGCGCACCTTTTATACCGAATGTGCGAGATGCGCAGCCGACCGACCGGTCCGTGGATCTCGTAGCACACACGTGAAGGGCGAAAAAGCGACGAATAAAAGGGTGGAACATAGTAGGCGTAGACGGAAGCGAGACGAGAACAGGGCTACACCGGCTTTTTCTCTCGCGGCAAGGACGCGTCTTCGGGGTTTTAGACACGCTCTGGGTGTATCTTCCGAAACAGGGAGAAAAAGACGATCGTTCTCATGGCGAAGCAACAAATCAGAAACGAAAAAAAAAAAAAAAAGA